TCAATGGGGGGCCAAAACCCACCCTACTACACCCCCCTCTCAAAGCCCACCCTCCTCCGGCGGCCGAGGCTCTGCTCCCTCGCCGCCCTCGCCGTCCTCTGCTCCCTCTCCTACCTCCTCGGCGCCTGGAATCACGGCGGCGGAGGCGGTGGCGCCGCCTCCAACCTCCTCGGCTCCGCCATCTCCTGCCTCCCGCCGAACGCCACCACCGCCGCTCCCCGGCTGGACTTCTCCAGCCACCACTCCGCCTCCATCACGCCGGCCGCCGCCAGGGAGTACCCGCCGTGCGACGCGAGGTACGTGGAGTACACGCCCTGCGAGGACCAGCGGAGGTCCCTGAAGTTCAACCGGGACCGGCTGATCTACCGGGAGCGCCACTGCCCGAAGAAGGGGGAGGTGCTGAAGTGCCGGATTCCGGCGCCGTACGGGTACAGGACTCCGTTCCGGTGGCCGGAGAGCCAGGATCTCGCCTGGTACGCCAACGTGCCCCACAAGGAGCTTACGGTGGAGAAGGCGGTCCAGAACTGGATCCGGTTCGAGGGGGACCGGTTCAGGTTCCCGGGCGGCGGCACCATGTTCCCCAACGGGGCAGACGCATATATCGATGATATTGGCCGGTTGATTAATTTGAAAGACGGCTCTATTAGAACCGCCATTGACACCGGCTGCGGGGTAAGCTTTTTGTTCTTTTTTTTATCTTTTAATTTTATTTGCATTTTTTTTCTTAAACAATTGTTGCTACTGATAATTTTTCTACTCGGTCAACTCTTTTGTTTTATTTATTACAGATTAATGAGCACCTCTGAATGACTGTATTTAATTAATTAATTGAATCTTGTGGATTGTGAAAACTAAAGTTCTAATTTTATTTAAAATTATTTTATTGTGTGACAAAAAAAAAAAGAAGGTTTTTCCACAAAATGAGTTTTTTTCAGGGTACCAAATGCTTCGGTACATGTACCCAGGCAAGTAAACGAGTCGAGAAAATATAGAAAAAAAATCTCATATATCTCAAACCCAACTACCTTTGTTGACGAGTCTGTAAAATTCTAATGACGGTGTACTATTTTTAATTATTAATATAATTTTGAAAAAAAAAAATAAAAAAAGAAAGAGCTTTAGTGCGCCGAACCGAGCCAAAGCTTGGTTGATATTTGAACATTTTAAATTTGTGAAATCTGAATTCTGGTTTGAAAAGCAGGGATTTGTAATTAATTAATGCTACCTGATCCTGGAAATATATGAATATAATTTGGCTTGTATTGTGGATAGAATTTGGTAATTTACAGACGAGATTTTGGTGCGCGTCAAAGCAAATGAATTAGAGCAAATTAGAAAGTAATATACACGTGTAATATTTGGTTGAGTTTACTGTTCACATTTTACGGGCATGATGCAATTTTGTGATGGGATTTTTTATGAATTATTATATTACAAAATAAAAACTGTGGTTTGGAATTATAAATAAGTAGTGGGTCTGTCTGTCACATTTACAGGGAAACCAGCCTTTTCTTTTTTTTTTTTTTCATGGATTT